TCATGTGAATATAACCAGATTTAGATAGCTACCATAATCTGCTAGCATCTCTTTGTTCATTTGGTTTTCCCTCTGCGTTTATTTATATGATAGAGTGATAGAGTGCTGTTAGTAACCAATCACCCTAATAAATCTGCATTAGAATCTAATTTATTCATATTATTTGAAGCCTATAGAATGAGATTACGATTAATTTATCATCTGTGATTTTGTTTTCAATGTTGACGTTGGAACACCGAAAAGTATGGAAATTCAAGTTATCGGTGGTGATATTTCTAAGTGGGAGAAAAGATGGACTATGTGTATGGACCGGAAAGAACCATCTCTTTGTTCCGGGGCCGGTTAACATCCCATAACCGGTTATTCGGGCCATGAACAGGAACAATGAGGATTACCGTTCCCCTGCTATTCCTGCAATGACAAGAACTCTTCTTGAAGATGTCAAGAAGATTTTCAAGACTACCACCGGCACTCCCTTTTTGATCCCAACTACAGGTATTTATTGTTTTAATCACGCTACCATGTTTTCAGCTATCCATCTGAAGTTAATACTTAAGATTGACCGACTTGAAAACTAATACCATTAATCAATCACATAAGTAATATGTTGTTAATACTTAATAATAGTATCTTACCTGTTTCAGATTAGCTAACGAAGATAATGTTGGTGTTTGAATTCAGGAACTGGTGCATGGGAGAGTGCACTTACTAATACCCTGTCCCCTGGAGATCGAATTGTATCTTTCCTTATTGGACAATTCAGTCTGCTGTGGATTGATCAACAACAACGCCTCAAGTTCATCGTCGATGTAGTTGAAAGCGAGTGGGGTCAAGGTGCGAACCTTGACATTCTGGCGGAAAAACTTGCAGTTGATCACGCCCACACAATCAAGGCCATTTGCATTGTTCACAATCATGCAACCAAAAATCTTTGTAACAACAATGCAACAATAAAATAATTAGACTTCCAGTTTTCCATGAAACATTAGCTTATTAGCAGCAAAATCCGAAAAGAAACTCAATTGAAACTACATCACACGAATCGCTTATTAGCTTATTAGCTTATTAGCTTATTAGCTTATTTCCAGTTTTCCATGCAACAAGAAATGTTGTTGGCAAGAAGAGAAACTCGATTGAAACTACATCACACGAATCGCTTGAGATTAGGTAATGATTGTACATACCTTGTTTCAAAGCTGAGATTGAGATGGTCGGAAATTTGTGACTAGATTGACGACAACAGCTTGATGCGCCGCGACGTTGATGATTGGTTGTGCAATAGTGGTCACCCGCGGCGTGATGGTGGCAGTGGTGCACGATTTGTCAAGTATGCACTACTAATTCGAGGAAGAAGATTTGGGATAAAACAAATAAGGGATTCGGGCTGCAGAATTGGGATATCTAATTTAAAGAACAATTACGGCGTTATATTAAAAATGCCACAAAGGAACTATTCTATTACGGCGTTTATTACGAAAATGCCACTAAGGGACACACTATTGCGGCGTTTATGTCACAAACGCCACTAAAGTACAACTTTTTAGGGGTGTTTTTTAAAAAACGCCACTAAATTCAAAGTATTTACGGCGTTTTTCTTAAACACGCCGTTATAAACAATATACAACTCTATTGCCACTACAATATTACTCTTTTGCGGCGTTTTTGGATACAAACGCCACAACATGTCAGATCTATAGCGGCGTTTCTGGATACAAACGCCGCTAATTACCTTTTATTTAGATAATATTAGTTGATTTTACATATTTCATTTCTAATGTACATCAACTAAATTGACTGATATATGTATAAACATTATATGGAGAGTTATTGTTGTTCTAGAGAAGAAGCTTTGAGGGAAGAAGAGTTTAATTGATTTAGGGTTGGGTAGGAGAAAAAAAGGACTATATATTTAACATTTTGCGGCGTTTATACAAAAAAACGCCACTATTGATTACATTGTGGCGTTTGTTAAAAACGCCACTATTATTAAAATATGTGGCGTTATCTAAAAACGCCACTATTGATTAACACTATTACAGCGTTTGTGGTATAAACGCCGCTAATTTACCGATATATTGCGGCGTTTGTTAAAAAACGCCGCAAGAAACCACACTATAGCGGCGTTTTTTGTAAAAACGCCACTAAAGTATCAATTTGTGGCGCTACGATTGTAAACGCTGCTATATGTTTAACTTTTGTGGCGTTTTCTTTCCAAACATCGCTAAAAACGCCGCTACATATCAGTTTTGCTGTAGTGAGTAGACAACATAGTGTATATATTTTGTATCTTAATGTATAAATACTTAAATTCATAATATTTTATATATATTAACTTAAAAAATATTTTTATATTACTTTTTAAATATATTTTATTATTAACTTAATTTAAAAATATTTTTTATTTTCATTTAAAAATATATATTTTATGTTAAAATTTATTTTAAAGTTAAATTAAGAGAATATGTAAATAACATAGACCAAATGTGTGATTATACCAACTATCACGTCACATATTTCGTTAATTATTAATTGCAGTTAACTCGTGATGACCATATCTTAATTAAATAAAAACTAAAGTGAACATATCTTAATTAAATAAAAATAAAAATGACCATATCTTATTTTTTAAAATCACTGATCAAAAGTGGACAAAACACAAACATTAGTGATCATTCTGTAGTTAACCCTACATTTTAATTTAATTAATAGTATTATTGTCATACTATTTTAGTATTTAAAATTTTATAGATTTAATTTTTGAAAGGGTTTAGACGTGAAATGATCCTCATTGTGCGTTTGGTTTGGGGAATCTTACATTAACAAGGGGAATGTTTTTTTCGGCCTTGTATTCCCACATTTTGTTCATAAAATCTTACATTACCGGGAATATTTTTTCCCAATAGTAGCATTTTTTGGTTAAAATGGTGTGAATATCATTACTTTCAAATTCTTAGGTAATCTTACATTCTCACCACTTTGGACAATAATACCCTTGGATTAATGAATTCTTTTTATAATGATCCTTCTAAATTCTTATTTTTTATACTTTACTCAAAATTATAAAAATAATAATAATATACAAAGAGTTTGATTTACTAAAATATTAATAATTTTGAGAATTTAAAATATTTTCTATTTTAATATTCAATTTTATTATAATTTATGGGATGAAAAAAATAGTATTATTGTAAAAATGTAATTATTTAAAATAATATTTTACTACCATAATATTATTTTTTATATTATATTATATTTTATATAAATAAATATGATACTTATGAACATTATTTAAAAATATAAATTAATATACTAAATTTAATTATATATTAAATGTAATTTCTCCTCAAAAGTTAGATATTATAGCGATTTAAATATTTTTATGAATTTCATTCAAATATTTATAAATTAATATTAAAGTTTAACTTTAAAAAAATATATCACAAAGATAATTTGGTAAAATATGCATCCAAGTAATCTTATATTCCTCCAACCAAACATTGTAATCTTACATTCCTGCTAAAAATCAAAAAAGGTAATACAATATTCTCATATTAATGTTGCATTCCAGTAATGTTATTCTCAAAGGTAATATTACATTCTGTGAACCAAACGCATCCTCAATGTAAATTTCGAAAGAATTATTCGTAGTCATAGTGAATTGAAATAAATTATTCCTAGTCATAATCGGATTTATTCGTATTGAGTTTTTGTTCGAATTTTTTTATGAACTCTTACTTTTTGTATGGTCATTATATGATTCTAAGTGAATAATTTCTTGTGTAATTGTTATAGAAAAATGTCCTAATTACGGTTTTAGTTTACGCTATTGTTGTAAACTTTAATTATAATTGTAGATATTTTCTAATTTTTTAATAAAACTTGTGGGTTCTATTTGCATAAAAAATAGGATTAGAATTCACTTATATAACATAAAACTTTATTTGTTTTACACAAATTTAGGATCATTAGATGAGTAAAAATAGACGGTTGAGATTAATAGTAGGAAATAAAAAGATATTTACAAGGAAAAAATAAGAAATTAATCTCAGCCTCTATTTTCATTAAGCCAACAGTTCTAAATCTATGTAAAACAAAAAAATACACTATATAATTGGATCATATCCCATCCAGTAAATGAAAATAACATGTATGGACATGGGGCGATTGATGGCGTTCATCCTCTAGAAAATTTTAAATTTTCATATATTTTAAATATTTTTGTAGTTTATATTGATAATTTATTCTCGTCCCTAGAATTTTATCAATTTATTCTCCACTAAAATTTTAGAAGCAGGTCCTTGTCTATTGTAGGATTTTTTTAATTTTAATTTAGGCAAATGGTTGTCTTACTATAGGGCGATGCTTTGTTGAGTCTCTAACTATTAAAAATTATACAATGATATCAAGATTATAGGAAATTGTTTGTTGAGTCTCCTGACAATTAAAAGTTACAAAATGACAATTATTCATGTGTTTCAAACTCGTTCTTTTCCTTTAAAAAAATTAGCGGTCTTCTGATGTTAACCTACTGACTGAAATATGATAAAATTATACTTTAATGATATCTACTGTCACCATCATTGCTTTTAAGCACTGGCTCGACGACACGATGTAAAGAAAGAGTTTATCCACAACATATAACTCAAACGGTTCTGGGATCATATTTTGTCATATCATAGTCAACAAGTTATGTCCAACTCAAACGTCGGTCAATTTTTAACGAAAAATGACAACTTTGGAATATATGATTAGTCAAATGATCATTTTGTAACTTTTAATAGTTTAGAGACTCAACAGAGAGCACCCTATAGTTAAGGGATCATATTGTAACTTTTAATAGTTGGGGACTGAATAAAGCAATACCATATAGTCGGTGATCATTTGTGTAATTTACCCTTTAATTTAGATAGAGAGACTATATAATATTGTTGAAGCAAGTATAGAGTTTTGAATTTAACAAAGGAATGTAACAGTCTAACCTTTCTCATGATCTTCCGATATCTCTCATTATCACATCTTACTTTTAATCTTAATGAAATCCATTTTTTTATTTACAGGGCAGAGAAATCAGGCTCCACAGGCTTAAACATTTTGGGCATTTTTAACATGGATTCATCATGGCTAATCCTGGCCATCACCTTCTTTGCTCCTCTCCTAGTGTTTTTAGCAAATTTAGATGCCAGTAGCGTGACACCAAGATGCTGCGCCTGATGGCTGGTATCCGATGATCCATCTTCGTCCTCCTCTTCTCCGGCACCGACTAATACTCCCTCGCCGCCATCGTCGAACAAGTTCTCCTGTTTCGCTAGCTCAATCGCCATCTTTCTCCTCTTGTACCGTCTCCAAGCAGCTTCGATGAAGCAAGCTCCCCATGTCCTCCATTGGTGGGAGTAGTATCTGAATGCGTGTTGAAGTTTCTTGCTATGCAGTCGCTTGAATTGTTTCGCCACGTATTTGAGCTCCCAGGCGCGGAGAGCGAAGGCCTCGACCTCCGTTATCGACTTCACCGTTCGGGTCGATAACGGAAGGTTTAGGCAGGAGTCGGAGTTCGGGATCAAGGCCCATGTCAACAACTCTTCACCACAGAAGTCACCTGGTCCGAGTGTTATGGAATTGTAGAACCCCGTCCGGCCGCCATTGGTCGTCGAGCTCTCGACTTCGCCTCGAATGATGAAAAGCATCTCGCGCACCGGATCACCTTCCCGGACAAGGTACATGTCCTTGGTGTTCAAGGAGGAGACAAGGCGTTCACATATGGCATCTAGGAGCTGGTCATCCATCTGATTGAAAAATGGAACCTGAAACCAATACCAAACATCAAGTTTAATCATTCCTATGGATGCATGCAAGAAAACTAACGGTACCATACAATAACGCAAAGAACAAATTTTATAAACTCGTTCTCTAACATAAAATTTTGTGTTCAATCCCGCACGCATGGAGACTTACACGGCGAACAAGGGCGAGACAAAGATGCCGTTGAATTTGACGCCGGAGGTCCAAGGGTAAGGCCTTCAATATAGCTTCTTCATCAACGCCTCTCGTGGCAACCCATTGATAGTTAACGAACCGGCGGACACGGTCTTGCAAATCCGGCGGCAATTGTCGGTGTCTCATCCACTCTTCGGTATCCCTTCGGCGGATTCTCCACTCCTCTAGTCTTGCTGTAGTAGATTGAAGATAGCTCTTCAAGGAAAGCACAAGTTCACTATAGTGAGAAAAGGAACCTTCTTTGAAGTGAAATCACAGTCAATTTAGCTAAAGGGTAAATTACAAAATTTTTATCGTTTAACTTTTTTCTCAATCCTATTTTAGTCATTAAATTTTAAAAAACTTTCAAGTTACACATTAAATTTTTATTTACACCTATTTTGATCACTTGTTGAATCATAAATGAAAAGGTGACATGAGGTGGGATACTTTTTATTGACATTAAAAGTGTCGTCCACATCATATTTTCTTTTCTTTTTTATTTTACTTTCTTTCTTCAATAATGAAAGTTTTACAGTTTCACCCTATGTCCCATTGACATTGTAATTATCATTCTTAGGCATGTTCTTCAACCACCAAAGATATCGACGAACTCGTCTCATTGTCTACTATCACTCTATTAATTTAGATTTTATCTAAATTATTTTAAAACTCATAAAATTCAACCCTGACTTATAAATTCATAAAACTCCAAATCACTTTGATTTACGATATTCGTCATCCGATCAACATGAAATCAAGATATATAACTCACTTTCTCTTTCTACATTTTCTCATTGTTTAGACTTGGAAGAAAATGCTTCATATTCTAGAAATCAAAGGAAATTCGAAACTAGAGATTTTTTTTTATAAAAAAGAAAAACATTTTGGGACCCTTTCATAATTTTTTAAAAGAAAAATATCTAATCATGTTATCATTAAGTATTTAACATATAGTGATCAAAATAGGAATAATTAAAAAATTTAACGAGTAAACTAATTTTTTTCATTTTACTGACCAAAATAAAAGAGAGAAAAGTTTAGTGATGAAATTTGTAATTGAGCCTTAACTAAAAGATGAGTAATTTACCTGCATGTTGCCTATGAGATGTGAGAAGAAAACTAGACCAGCGATGCAAATAAGAGCACAAAATAAAGTTTCAGAAGGAAGAGTACTTGTCTCAATACTTTGTCCATATGAACTGCATGCATAACACAATTGCTTCAAGCACTGAAAAACGAAAACACCGAAGATGGAACTGATTTCAGAACTAAATATTTACCATAAGCTTTTCAATCCCCACCAAAGGCAATAAAAGAACTTATCCATGAACGCTGACGACGCGACGTGTTCGTAAGGCTCGGCAAACATTCCGAACTCGAAGTCTTTGTTGTCGTCGTTCAGAGCATCGCAGTTCATGATCACGTTGGTTTTCTTGAGCCAGGCGTTCCGTGCAGGCTTTCCGACGGTACTACAGTCGAGGAAGTCATGATTGCAGGATGGCGAATGCGTCTCGTTCATCTCTTTCGTGCATTCTAAACTCCAGCAATCGTACTGCCGTTGAGTCGACAAGACATACCATGAAGCTCCTAAGACCTGCATTTACAATTTAAAGCCATGACCACAGCAGGGGATGATTTGAAAGAGAAGGTGAGATGTTGCGCTCACATGGCTAGCTAGGATGAACATGACGAGGTTGTAAACTGCCCCTGACCAGGCAGTCTTGGCGACGACTCCGGTACTTTTGACGATGCGTTGATTGATCGGAAACATGATTATGAATCGAGGAATGTATTGAAGGAGAACGATGAAAGAAAGTGTATGGTTTGCATGAGCAGCCATTCCGCTTTTCGGAATTATGAACCAGATGACAATCTGAGAAGGCAATATAATGAAACTCAATGCATGTCATTTGAGACACGTTGACCATAATAAATGGGCCACGAAAATCATAAACGGTTAATTTCTTTTGGTTTGTGGTTTGGATGAAGAATCACTTAGATGATCAACTGACATTAACCATCAATAAAATAAATAGCTAATCAAAGAAAATTAGGATGAGCAAGAGGCTCTGCCACTACCGTAAAGATGTTCTCAGAAATCTTGATATACCAAGATGGTACAACAAGAATTTATATCCATGGGATAAACTCACTAACAAGAACAAACAAGAAAGTAGAAAAGTGAATTAACCTGTGGAGAGGGAGAGCAGCGGCAAGATCAATGATGAAACTCGACTTCAAGTATCGAATGGCGATGGCTTTTCGATCCATTACGAGCTCTCCCCTCCCGAAGACCCTAGAATTGGGTGCCACGAAAGCTGTCCTGAACTTGACGGTGATGTGTACGAAAAAGAACAAGTCGGCGACGCAACGGAAGAAGGTGACGACGATGCCGAGGCCGAGATCGATCTGCATGCAGCCGGGGCGCCGACAACGGGAAGGTAAAAGTAGAGAGGGTCTAGAAACAAGGCTACAATGCATGTGAAAAGAATACGTGGTTCCATTTGGTTACAATCGGGCTCCCAGGATCGAGGATTTGATTCCACCGAGGAATCTCTCGCCCTAGAGAGAAGGTCTGAGGGAACTCTCCGAACCTTTTGGACGTGTAGTGTCGAAGGACGCGATCCATCTTCCACCAAAAAAAAAAACCACATTACAAATGAGATTAACAGCAGCATCTGATTCATAACAAAAGACTTTGATGTATCAAATAATTTCTGGAAAAAAGCGTTTAGGATTTTCACTTACGAGAAAGGTGGCGTTGGTGATTCCTGAAACCCCCTGGGTTGACATGGAAGATGGAAGGGAGAAGACAGGGAAATGAACGAAAGAGGGAAGAAGAGATTTAGGGTTTGAGAGACTTCAAAAAGTATGGAGGCGTAGCAAGTTCTGCGGATTTTCATGGGCATGAAGCTAAATACCTTCCTTTACTTGAGCGCCAAAGAAAGCAAATTAATGGAACATTTAGTATGGGTTGGTTAATAATAACATTATTATATATATATATATAATTAATTGATTGGGTTGTTTAATCCAAGAGCTCGCCACAATTATGCTCTATAGAGGATTATCCGTATAGCTTATCCTGAAATATGTACATGAATTTTGGAGGTAAAATATATGTTTAATATCTCAACTATCGCTTTTATTCTATTTGATTATAAGTTATTATTTTTTAAATTATTTTAATATTTAATATTAAGTTTTAATTTCATTTTAGTCACTCGTTGTTAAAAAATAACAAAATTATTCACATATTATTTTTAATTTTTTTCAATATGACATGACATAACCTTATGGTGACATGTATGGTGGCATATCAACATCACTATTCATTTTAGTCACCCGTCATTAAAAAAACAGAAATATAACATGATGATTTTAAAATAAAACAAAGTGATAATTGGATACCAGATGTGTACTTTACCCTTTTTTTATAAAGATTTACCGACTATAAATATTTGATTTGACGTTCCTTTTTGTTCACGCTTCGTCTGTGTATTTCTTTGAAATTAGGGTTTATTAATATTTTCTTTTTCCTAGCTTCGGCTAAGAAAAATGGCAACTGAACAACCGAAACCGGCGACTGAAGAAGTGAAATTGGATTTGTTCGAAGATGACGATGAGTTTGAAGAATTTGAAATCAATGAAGGTAATTTTATACCCCTTTTTTTTATCTACTTTTTGTCTTTTTTAAAAAATCCTGGAGGCTATTGTTAAACTTTAATTTTAGGTCTATCTCAAGTAATTCTGAAAAAAATGATGTCTATAGCTTGATTGTTTTGTTTTCCTCTGTATTTGTTAAAGTTTAATTGTATAAACTTATGGCGAACTGTTCGTTTCGTTAAACTTGTTCCGGTTGCAATTAGATCGAGTATTTTCCTCAGCAACTTATATTTAAGAATAAGGTCGGGTTATTTTTTACTGCGATTCTTGATGGAGTCGAACGCGCCATCGCTTCTGTTGCAAATAGAATTTGAAAGATGATCAAATGAATCTGACACTATCAGTATTTGCAAAATTGGCTACAAATCCCCTTTTTTTCATGTATGCTGGAGTTTGTTCCTCTTGGTATGTTATACATCGGCTCTCTCAGTTACTGGATACTTGAAGAAAGTACAACAAGGATTAAAGATTGTCTTATAGCTTGTTTCTGTGCCCTGTTAAGAGGGTGGAAAAGTATATTACGCAATAAGAATCTCAACCAAGCTGCTTTCGAGTGAGGGAAATTGTCATAGTCAGCCAGCAAGCAATACCAAGAATGCCAGCTAATAGTCTTCTTACTTCCACCACTAGCTTAAACTGAGAAATAGATTAGGAAAAATCTGCAGGGCTAATATGGAAAGGTTATAAGAGTGCTTGTTTGTGCCGTTAACTCCTAACTTTGTACTTGGATAACCATATTATACAGGATCTAATTTGAAATCTTTGATAAATTATTGTTTAAAATCTATGCAAAGTAAATTGATTCTTGATTCATCAACTCTTCGCAGTCCACAAGCTGTTAACTTTTGCTGGAGTAAAAGCTTGCCTTGTGTGAGCCACATCTTAGACTAGTAAATCTATTAGCGAGCTCCAAGCTGAATTGACCTATTGTCATGTATTTGAATATGGCAGCTTTTGCAATTCACAAGATTTGAGATGTCACCTTATGGCCATATTATTCTTCCAGAAGGCTGACTTTAAGTTTTGGTAATGATAGAGAAGTGTGGTTTTGTTGTAGTTATACATCTGACAATGAAATTCTACTGATTTCTAGAGTTTGTTCTGGTACACCAGATCTCAAGCAATCTATATTGTTCTGAAACACAAAGTCTGATGAAAGCAAACCACAATTGGCCACTTAGTGTTATTTTCTATATGCCTCTAGTTACTTTGTTGTATAATGTTGACTTATAGTCTTTCTTACTCCACCACTAGCTTAAACTGAGAAATATAAGAAAAATCTGCAGGGGCTAATATCGACAGGTTATAGGAATGCTGTTTGTGCGTTAAACTCTAACATTTTACTTGTATAACCATATTATACAAGATATAGTTTGAAATCTTGGATAAATTATTGTTTAAAATCTATGCAAAGTAAATTGATTCTTGATTCTTGATTTATCAAATCTCTTGCAGACCACAAGCTTGTCTTTGTGTGAGTCACATCTTAGACTAATAACTATCTTAGCAAACTCCAAGCCGAATTGACCTATTGTCATGTATTTGACAATGGCAGTTTTTGCAATTAACAAGATTTGAGATGTCACCTTATTGCCATATTATCCTTCCAGAAGCCTGACTTTAAGTTTGGTATTGATCGAGAAGTATGATTGTGCTGTAGTAATACATATGGCAATGAAATTCTACTGATTTCTGGAGTTTGTTCTGGTACCAGATCTAAAGCAATCTATAGTTCTGAAAACATAAAGTATGATGCAAGCAAACCACAATTGGCTACTTGGGTAATATTATCTATATGCAACTAGTTACATTGTTGTATAATGTTAATTTCAATTCTTTGCGCTTCTGCCTGCTAGGTGCTAACTAGTGCTCATGTTTTAGTTACACGTAGTATACTTTGCCCACCCTAGTATTTTTATCGCTCTTTGTATTTTGAAATGTGTCGTCTTCGAATCCCCACTTGTTTCCTTTGGATAATGGTACTTGTATTGTATCATTAAGTCTTGCCATTAAAGCTGATGACCCTGTCTTTGATTATGCAAGAATACAAATTTGAAATCTGAACATTTTTGTTTTTATCGCAGACTGGGACAATGAGGAAGAAGGGAAGGAAGTGATGCAGCAGTGGGAAGATGATTGGGATGATGATGATGTGACCGATGACTTCTCATTGCAACTGAGAAAGGAACTCGAGAACACTGAGAGAAGTGAGTTTGAATCGATTGCCCCTCGTGATTTCGTTGCACTGCAGACTTGCTTGTTTGAATGAATGTTCCTTTCCTTGCAAAAAAGAATGTTTTAGACTTTTTAACTTGTTTTGATAGGCTTGGATTGTCTGTTTGGTCTAACTTTGAATGCATAACTTGCTTTGTTAATCATAGTTTTCTTTACCTAAGAGTTGTGTCAATCTCCTTAATTTTTTCATCGCCGTACTAGGTTTTTTTGTAGTCAGAATCGAATAAAGATCGAATGTCATGTGAAACACACAATAAAAGGAGAGATCTATCAATTGATCGAGTGGTTAAGGTTATTCAGTTGGCCCATCTTGTATAGGTTCAAATTTTGACATTTTCTTGAAAATATCTCTCTCTCTATTTAGTAAAGAACACACAATAAATGAATAGTTTTTTTTAAGAATATAGGATAAAAAGTTGAACTTGGAAGTGAAACTTGGGTAAAAGGAAGCATACCCTCCAAAAAAAAAGAAAAAAATGAATCTTGAATAAAAAAGCCCTCTTCTTTTGCTTTGAACTGTAGCGAAGGAATATTATTTGTTTACAAAAATAGAAATCAGGGATCGAACCATTTCTTTTCAATATCATTTATTGAAATAAAAATCTGAGATCAAAACTGTACGTAGCTTCCAACTAAGCATGCAGAAATAACATTAAAAATAATGAAATTCAAAGAGTTTAATTAAAATAATCAAAATAATGTAAATTTAAATAGAGATTCATATATATGAATATATAGCTCATCAGTATAGCAAGTACACATGTATAAGATTTAAATTGTAAATGCAGTTCGTTTAATCAAATGTACTTAAAAACTAGATACATACAAAATTAATCATCCCACACATTAATAACATAAAATTCAATCCACACTCCAATAATGATAGCGATTGTCTCCCACCGACACTCAAAAGTTGTTTTACAATTAAGCATTGAAATATATATGTATTTCTATCAAATTCGTACAATCGTTAATAAACCTATTACATATCTGATTACAAAATTAAAACAATCAGAGCTCAACCATTATGATTATGATAAATTGTTGGGCTAACACATGAAATAAACGAACAGAAGAAAATAAAGAACACAAGATTTAACGAGTTCGACAAGGTGCCTACGTCCTCGGAGCGATGAACGACTGTTTTCTTATTATTAGCAACAATCATTAACAATTAGGTTACAGTTACATAATATAAAAACAATCCCACAATTACCAAAATAACCCCATACGTTACCCAATGGACATATGTTGATCGTTACGTTCGCTCCGCTCCAGCATCTGTCCTCCAACTGGTATATGAGCCATACCTAACAAATCTCCACCCTCGTGAATATCATGCCCTCTGGAGATGAAAAAACCGAGAGTTTACCAAACATCAAAGTGGGTTGGACTACCACGTTCTCTAGCAACTGTAAACATTCAACAAGTCCAAGCAATGCATGAACTTGTCAGTATTAACTAGCTTGGTCAACATATCAGCTTTCTCACTAGTGTGAACCTTCTGTAACAATATCTCTCCAAATGCAATCAACTCTATAATCTTGTGAAACCTCACATCATTATGCTTAGTTCTAGCATGATACGCTTGATTC